CAAACTGTCACCTCCTGGTTCATAGGTAGACCCTTAACCACTGAGCCATGCCACTCAGACTATTCCTTTTATTTTCTAAAGTTCAACATAAGAAAACAAAGTGATAATCTGTTTCTTTATTAGAACAACACAAATTTTGATATTTCTGTATAGTTTTCCATAGACAAGGCATCTTGATATATTCACTAGAGGCCCCAGCGCGTGAAATCGTGTGAGATGCAGAGTCCCACCACCGCCGCTGGGTACCCAGAGTCCCTCCCGGCACCGCTGCGGGTCCCACCAATGCACCTCCTGGTGACTGGTCATTTGGTCGTTCCGGCGTTACAGCCACTGGCTTTTTATAATATTGATATGTTAGTGTTGTGTAGAATATTTAAATTACCTCCAGAGGTATATATATTTAGGATTATTTATAGGTCAGGTCTAATAATGAGAAGGTCTAATAATTAGAGAGTTTTGGAGCTGGAAAAGTTTTTTCCTCTCCATTGTTAATCTGTTTTGTCAGTATTCTTGTTGGATGGTTTCTGTTCATTTATCAGTTCATTGTTTTATTTCATGCCCTTTTTTCCCTCCGATAGTATTCTTCTTAGAAACCCTTCAGTGATCTTAGAAGGGCTGTCCTTTCCATGAAAAGCTGTTCTTTTATGTGCTTTTAGAATAATATTCTGGAATTCCTGATATTTTCATTGTATTTTTTTCTTATCTGTTCTCATGTTTATATTCATTCTACTTAGAATTCAGTAAGCTTCTTGCATTTGTATGTCTCTTTCTCCAGTTGTCAGGATCTTAAACGATTAATTTTTTATATAAGCTACCTTATCCTTTTCACTATCCTGTCCTTATGGTGTCCTCTTGGAGTTCAGTTTTTTAGTGTATTAGGAGTTTCTTATATTTTCCATATATTTTATTGATTTTTTACAGAGAGGAAGGGAGAGAGATAGAGAGTTAGAAACATCGATGAGAAAGGAACATCGATCAGCTGCCTCCTGCACATCCCCTACTGGGGATGTGCCCACAACCCAGGTACATGCCCTTGACCGGAATCGAACCTGGGACCTTTCAGTCCGCAGGCCGACGCTCTATCCACTGAGCCAAACTGGTTTCAGCAGGAGTTTCTTATATTCTCCACATTTCCACATATTTATCGGCTTCTCGGAATGAAAATTTTAATGATTTATGTACAAATGCTTTGATTATTTAATTATTATTTTTTAAATGAATTGATTACCGAGAGGAAGGGAAAGGGAGAGAGAGAGATAGAAACATCAGTGAAGAAAGAATCATTGATTGGCTGCCTCCAGCATGATTGGATATGGAGCCTTCAACCCAGGCTTGTGCCCTGATGTGGAACCAAACTGTGACCACCTCGTTCATAGATTGAAGCTCAATAACGAGCCACAGCTTCCAGGCAAATTCTTTTTTTTCTCTCTCTTCTTTAAAAAAAATTTTTTTTTCTTTATTGTTGAGATTATTACAGATGTCTGTCTTTTTTCCCTCCCCCATAGCTCCCCTCCACCCGGTTCCGACCCCACCCCTGGCCCTTGCAACCCTATTGTACATGTCCATAGATACTGCATACATGCATATAAAATATTTGTCTAAATTCATCCGGCACCCCCCACACCCCCTTCCCTCTGAGAATCGTCAGTCTGTGCCATTTCCATGCCCCTGATTCTATTCTATTACATTCACCAGTTTATTCTGTTTATCAGATTTTTTATTCATTTCATTTTTAGATTCACTTGTTGATAGATATGTATTCACTTTTTTCATAATTTTTTATCTTTACCTTTTTCTTCTCCTTCCTCTTCTTAAAGAATACCCTTCAGTATTTCATATAAGATGGTGTGGTGGTGATGCACTCCTTTAGCTTTTTCTTGTCTATGAAGCTCTTTATCTAACTTCAATTCTAAATGATAGCTTTGCTGGGTAGAGTAATCTTGGTTGTAGGTTCTTGTTATTCATCACTTTGAATATTTCTTGCTACTCCCTTCTCTCCTGCATAGTTTCTGTTAAAAATCAGCTGACAGTCATACGGGTGCACCCTTGTAGGGAACTAACTGTTTTCCTCTTGCTGCTTTTAAGGTTCTCTCTTTGTCTTTTGCCCTTGGCATTTTACTTATGATGTGTCTTGGTGTGGTCCTCTTTGGATTCCTTTTATTTGGGGTTCTCTGCGCTTCCTGGACTTGTAAGTCTATTTCGTTCACCAGGTAGGGGAAGTTTTCTGTCATTATTTCTTCAAATAGGTTTTCTATATCTTGCTGTCTCTCTTCTTCTGTCACCCCATAATTCGGATGTTTGTGCACTTGAAGTTGTTTAGAAGCTCCTTACACTATCTTCATATTTTTGGATTCTCTTTGCTCTTCTGGATGGGTGTTTTTTGCTTCCTCATATTTCAAATCTTTGACCTGATTCTTGGTATCCTCTAGTCTACTGTTGAATCCCTGTATAATATTGTTTATTTTAGTCAGTGTATGCTTAATTTCTGACTGGTCCTTTTCCATTTTTTTGTCATTGTCATAAAGATCCTTGAAGGTCTCACTAAGTTCCTTGGAGGTTTCTAGAAGATTCTTGAGTAACCTTATACCTGGTTTTGAACTCTATATTCAATAGTTTGCTTTCTTCCATTCCTTTCATTTCTGACATGTTTCTTTGTCTCCGCATTTTGGCTGCTTCCCTGTTTGTTTCTATGTACTACGTAACTGCTCACTCTCATTGAGTTGATAGCGTGGCCTTGTGTAGTAGGTGTCCTATCGGGTCCAGTTACACAGCCTCCCTAGTCACCTCAGGTGGACACTCTTGGTGCACCCCTTTATGGGCTGTGTGCACAGTGTTGTTATAGTTGAGCCTTGATTGCTATTGGCATCACTGGGGGGAAATGACCTCCAGGCCAATTGGCAGTGAGGACCAGCTGTGACTACAGTGGGTTAGCTGCTGTGCAGGAGACACCCTTATGGGGCAGGACTTACTTCATTGGGGCTTTGGTGCTCACTGAGTATGCCCCTTGAGTGTGTCACTTATGGATGTGAAGAGTTATAATCTGGTATGGTGTCATGCTGACCACTGGATACACTGGCTCTTGGATCTCCAAGGAGGTGCAAAGTGAGCCACTGCCTGGGGCCACCCAACAGGAGCTACAGAGAGATCTGCAGATTCCTTCTCTTTGTGTCAGGTTTGGAAGTGCCCAGATAAGGTCCAGCTGTGAAACAAGGCAGGCTGCTGCTGTTGCCGGGTTTGGGGCCTTTTTTTTGATAACCCTGGGGCTCCCTGACCCAGCTGCAGATTGTTTGACAGGTTTTAGGCTGAGAATAGACAGGCCTTTCATATGCAAAAGACACTGCGAAAAGTGTGGGTGTGGTAGTAAATTGGGTAGGGTGGGGTCTCAGGGAATCTCCAGGGTGGAGCAAACAGCAATGGCTGCTAATCAGCCCTGTACCGGGGAGATCCCAGCAAAGGAACCATGACCGCTGCGAGGACCTCTGTCTGGAAGAAAGCTGCCTCTGTGTTCATGCCCCAATGCCAGACCGTCCAGTTTCTTCCGGTATATATATGTGTCCCCCTGAGTCTCACACGGCACTGGAGCTCAGAGCAAGCAGAAATTTGTATCTCCCTCCCAATTAAAAAAGTGACACACCTGGGTGCCAGCCCATGCCACGCCTCCGCACCTCCTACCAGTCTCAATGTGCTTTCTTCTTTACCTCTCTAGCCAGCTTTCTGGCCATTCTGGACGATAATTGTTCTGTATTTTAGTTGTAATTTTGACGTGGCTGTGGGAGGCAGCAGGTTACAGGTGTTTACCTATTCCGCCATCTTGGTGCCTCTCTCCCAGGCAAATTCTTTGATGTTTAAGTTGAAGATGTCTTTCATTAATGATTCTACTGTATTTTTTAATTCGTGTATTCTGTTTTTCAATTTTCCCTTTCCTGGTGGAGTTTGTAAAATACTTTCTCATTGTATTTTCATTTTGGTTCTATAATATTTTGGTGATATTATATAGTTGTCTTTTTTATTCTCCTTTTCGGCTTTAAGATATTTAGTTCTATTTCTTTTTTTTACAATATATTTTTATTGATTTCTGAAACAAAGCGAGGGGGAGAGAGATGGAAACATGAATGATGAGAGAGAATCATTGATCGGCTGCATCCTGCATGTCCCTCCTGTGGGTATCAAGCCTTTAACCCAGGCATGTAGCCTTGACTGGATTTGAACCAGGGACCCTTCAGCCCACAGGCCGACACTCTATCCACTGCACCAAACTTATTCAAGTAATTAATATCTTTCTATTGATGTAGTCCCAATTTGTTTTTCTGATGGTACACTTTTTCTGATTCTAAGCATGACTTGGTATGTTTTGTTGAGATTCCGGAATTGTAAACAACCAGGCTTTTGAACATCCTTTCTATAGGAGGAAAGAAATAATAACCATCTGTGGCACAAATTCTACTTTCAGTGAACACTGTTTTGAGTTCCTGTATTCTTCGTTCTATTGTCTGTTTAATTTCACAGTTGAAATGTTCTCTGTGTCTTTCTGAGACCCATGGTATCTTTTCAGACTTGATACACATCTTCAGTGCCGCAGTCTTTGTGGTGCTCGAACAATTTATCATTGTTTCTTTATAGCAGCCACAACAGGGCACTCACTGTGTACTGCCATTCCATTCGCACTCTGTGTCATGCACAACAGACACATGTTCTTGAAGATGCTTCAAAACAGTGAGATCATTGAACACGCACTTCCCTCATATCTGTCTCCAGCAAAGAAACTGGGAATTGGAAGTGTTGTTATATTATTGCCATTATGTGATAGGGGGTTTAAGCAGGTATCATTGGCATATGTAAACAACTCTTTGCCCCTATTTGATGTGAGTTTTTGTCCTTGTACCTATCTTGGGCTTTCTTTGAATTCTTCACTGGCTCTTAGAGTACTCCAAAATGTCATTTGGTCAATACTTGCTGTGCACTTACCTGATTGTCAAAACTGAAAATTTGTTTTCTTTCAGCTATACCATCAAAAGATAACCAAGCCTTTATGCCAAAGCCCGGAATACAGGATTTATTCCCTGAAATAATACTGGTAAGATATAAAAGGTGTCGCTTTGATAATGTACACTTAATGAAAGCCTTGGAATTTGAGGAAGAGTGTGATGAGAAGAGAGGATATTAATATAAACAGAACAAATCTAGAACAGTTATAATAAATTTCTTGTTAATTGAGCATGTCAGGTGTACTTTGGATTTGGAAAACCTCCCTTACTAAAGTCAGTTATATTGGCAGATAAGTGTGTTTCTGCACGTGAAGGTTGAAAACAACTTTTTACTGTTACCCAATCTTGGAAAGGAAATCTAGAAAAACTAGTAACTCATGTAGTCTCTAGAGTAAATAATCATTTGAATTGTTAAAAAGGTAGGATGGGATTAAACTTTCAATCATTTCTAAAATGTATAAATTTATAATGTATCTATATAATAAAATGTGCTCAATTTTGCAATCTTCTATGATTTTTTTTATGAAAAATGTATTTTTATTGATTTCAGAGAGTAAGGAACAGGAAGAGAGAGAGGAAAACATCAATGATGAGAGAGAATCATTCATTGGCTGTGTAGCTGGACAAGTGGAATGAGAAGTTAACTAGAAGAGGACGTTCTGCCGAGAAAAGGCGGGGGCCTGCAAGCGGGCCACGTCAGAACAAAGTCTTGCATGCAAGACTTATTGTTCAGAGGCAGAATTTTCTTGAGGTGACAAATAGTCCATGAGGGCATGGAAAGCCAGGGAGGGTACACTGCTGCAGATGGAAAGGGTCTTTGTATAACATAGGAAATTAATAGTGTAATGTATAACTTAGCTGTGATGATCTCATAAGCATGCCTGTTAATCATTGTCACTTGCTGTACTCCATTTTTATTTGCTGTACTCCCTAAATAAAAGCCATGAGAGCTTTGGGGGCTTCGCTGTATACCTGAGCGAGCGGTAGCCCTCTGCTTCTCTAAACTTAATGCTGCACGCTAAGCTCATCTTAGCGTCACCTTTCACAAAGAACATCAACAGGCTGCCTCCTGTATGCCTCCCACTGGGGATCGATCCCCCAACTGGGCCATGTGCCCATCCTGGGAATGGAGCCGTGATCTTCTTGTTTATATTTTGAAGCTCAACCACTAAGCCATGCTGGCTGGGCATTTGGCAATCTTTGAAATAAGGATTCATTCTTCTTTCTCTAATAATTAAGGTGTTGTATTTATATTTTATCTATCATCCTATATAATAAAAGCCTAACATGCTAAGTGTTTGGTTGTCTGGTCATCCGTTTAATCAATCAAAGCATAATATGCTAATGATATGTTAAGTCCACTCAACTCGCTATGATATCCACTGACCACCAGGGGACAGATGCTCCAACCGGTAGGTTAGCTTGCTGCTGGGGTCTGGGTGATCGGGACTGAGCAAGATGGGCTGGACAGGCCCTGGCGCCTTCCTGCAGTCCCTCCCTGGCTGGCCAAACTCTCGAATCCCTTCCCGCCCCTAATCATGCCCCAGTGGTACATGATGCACCATTGGGGTCCCTCTACCTGGCCTGCACCATCTCACAATCCAGGACCTCTCAGGGGATTTCAGAGAGTTGGTTTCAGCCCGATGTTGCAAAACATGGGAGGTGCCCCCTGGTGGTCAGTGTACTCCCACAGGGGTTGCATTGCTCAGCCAGAAGCTGAGCTCACAGCTGGTGAGTGCAGCTGAGGTGGCAGGAGCTTCTCCCACCTCTGTGGTTGCACTAAGGATGTCCAACTGTGGGCTTAGGCCTGCTCCCTGGGAGAAGCGGGCCTATGTCGACAGTAGGACATCTCCCAAGGGCTCCCGGACAGCAAGAGGGTGCAAGCTGGGCTCAGGGATCCCCCCTGAGTGCACGATGTTTATGCACCATGCCTTCAGTTTTAATATATTAGGAAAACTTTAATGAGTATCACAAAATGGTTCTTATGGATCTAGTGTACATGTTTAATGTGATTCTAACTCACTAAAGGTCTTTCTGTCTCCCATTATCACCAGAATACACAAAATGGAGATAGCAGTTATCAGTGGATTGAACATGGGAACAAATCTAAGCAAGAGTCATATCTTAATCATTGGACAAGTGAGCTCACAGGGCACCATCGTAAAAGTGGAAATGTCTTTGACCAAATGTCCTCTCATAATATATGTCAGGTTATTCCTATTGTGGAGAAGACACACCAAGTAAGTCAATGTGTCCACACTTTTCAGCAGTCTTCAAATTACAGTGGACAAGAGAATATTCATCCTGGGGAGGAGGCTTACAAATGGAATCCTTGTGGTAGAATCTCCAGTCAAATATACAATATAAATGGACAGGAAAAAATCCATAGTGGAGAAAAATCTTATAAATGTAAAGATTCTGGAAAAACATCTAATTGGCCTTCAGGTTGTACTCTAAATCAGAGAATTCGTACTGGACAGAAGCCTTACAAATGTAAAGCATGTAGCAAAGCCTTTAAATGTCATTCATCTCTTATTGTACATAAGGGAAGAATTCATGCTACTGCAAAATTTTACAAACTCAGGGAAAATGGAAAAGGCTTTAGTCAGTCCTCAAGACATACTCAACATCATAGAAATCATAGGGAAAAAAAGACTTATAACTGTTCAGAATGTGACAAAGCCTTTAGCCTACCCTCAACCCTTATTCTTCATCAGAGAATTCACACTAGAGAGAAACCTTATAAATGTAGAGAATGTGGTAAAGTATTCCTCCATGCCTCAAACATGATTCGACATCGGAAAGTTCATACTGGAGAGAAACCTTACAAATGTAGTGAATGTTTCAAAGCCTTTAGTGAGTCCTCCTCCCTTAATCGTCATCAGCATATTCATACTGGAGAGAAGCCTTATAAATGTACAGAATGTGGCAAAGCATTCATTGAGTCTGCGAAACTTAAACGACATCAGACAGTTCATACTGGAAAGAAGCCATATCAATGTAGAGAATGTGACAAAGCCTTTAGCCGGCCCTCAACCGTTACTATTCATCAGAGAATTCACACTGGAGAGAAACCTTATGAATGTAGAGAATGTGGCAAATCCTTTACCAGCCATGCAGGTCTTACTAAACATCAAGGTGTTCATACTGAGGATAAACCTTATAGAATGTGGTAGAGCATTCCTCCATGCCTCAAAGATGATTCGACATCAGAAAGTTCATACTGGAGAGAAACCTTACAAATGTAGAGAATGTGGCAAAGCCTTTAGCGAGTCCTCCTCTCTTCATAGACATCAGACAGTTCATACTGGTGAGAAGCTTTACAAATGCAGAGAATGTGGCAAAGCCTTTGGGCACTCCTCATCCCTTTGTTATCATCAGAGAGTTCATACTGGCGAGAGGCCTTACAAATGTAGAGAATGCGGCAAAGCCTTCAAGAAATCCCAAACTCTTACTGACCATCAGAAAACTCATACTGGAGAGAAGCTTCATGAATGTAGAGAATGTGGCAAAGGCTTTAGACAGACCTCAACCCTTACTCATCAGAGAAGAATTCATACTGGAGAGAAACCTTATAAATGTACAGAATGTGGCAAAGCCTTTAGACAGTCCTCACATCTTACTTTGCATCAGAGAGTTCATACTGGAGAGAAGCCGTATAAATGTAGAGAATGTGGCAAAGGATTCAGTGCAGCACAATCTCTTAATTGTCATCAGAGTGTTCATACCGGGGAGAAGCCGTATAAATGTAGAGAATGTGGCAAAGGATATAGTACGTCACAATCTCTTAATTACCATCAGAGATTTCATACCGGGGAGAAGTCTTATAATTGTAATGAATGTGGCAAAGCGTTTAGGCATTCCTCAAACTTGTCTAGGCATAAGAGATTTCATACTAGAGAGAAGCCTTTTAAATGTAATGAATGTGGCAAAGCCTATGCCTATTCCTCATCCCTTTATCGTCATCATAGTGTTCATAGTGGAGAGAAACCTTATATGTGTAATGAATGCGGCAAAGGCTTCAGTGAGTCCTCTAAATTAACACGCCATCAAAGAGTTCATAGTGGTGAGAAGCCTTACAAATGCAATCAATGTGGCAAAGCCTTTAGCCGTTCCTCACACCTTACTAATCATCAGAGAGTTCATGCTAGAGAGTAACCTTACAAATGTAGATAATGTAGCAAAGTGTTCAGTGCATTATCAACCCTAAGTTATCTTCAGAGGTCATACTGGAGAAAAGTCCTATGAATGAAGACAATGTGGCAAAGCTGCAGGCATTCCTCAGGCCTTCCTGACCATCAAATAACCCATACTGGAGAGAACCTTCGTGAATGTAGAGACTGTGGCCACGCCTTTTGCCAGTCCTCACACTTTACTAAGCGTCAGAGAATTCACACTAGAGAGAAGCCTTATAAATGTAGAGAATGTGGCAAAGCCTACAGGCATTCCTCAGCCTTTATTTACCATCACAGAGTTCATACTGGAGAGAAGCCTTATATGTGTGGAAAATGTGGCAAATCCTTTGGCAACACCTCAAACCTCTCAGCGCATCAGAGAGTCCATAGTGGAGAGAAGTATTAAAGATGTGAGGAGTGTCATAAATCCTGTACCAACAGTTAGTACTTACTGAGCTCACAGAATTCTAAATGGGAAGAAGCCTCCTGAATGTGAAAAATGGGTTTTCTAACCCATTAAAAGGCACACTTTTATTACTGTACATGAGACACTTCATACTGAAGAGAGAACTTAGAAATGTAGAGCATGTGCAAGAACCTGTACCCACAGCTCAAAATTTAGTGAATAACATGTTTATAGTGGAGGAAAGCTTTACACTATAGAAAATGTGAGAAAGTACTGGCTGGCATTCCTCACTGGTTTAGCTTTGATGTATGAACCACAAGGTCAGTGCAATTCCCTGTCTGGCATATGCCCTGGTTGGAGACTCAATCTTCAGTGTGGGGCATGCAGGAGCTAGCTGATCCATAATTCCTTCTGATCGTTAATATTTCTATTGCTCCCTCTCTTTTCCTCTCTGAAATCAATAAAAATATATTTTGTAAAAAGAAAAGAATGTGAGGAAACCTTTAGA